TACATTTTGAAAACCACCCGCCCTATCCGTGAACGTCCTCAATCCGTGAAGCTCTTGCAACTTTTTAAAGCGACTGTGCGCGGCGCTGAGGCGAGATCCACGTTTTGAAAGCGACCCGCCCTCCATGTGTGAAACCGTTGCCACTTTTTACGCTTCAGAGTCATACATGGGGAGGAAGTCTCAGGCCCCGCCCTAAAAACTGGCCTTGGGGTGCGACAGGGAGGAGTTATCTATACGGAGAAGGACTGGATGCTGATACTGCTGATGATGATGCTGCTGATGATGATGATGAGGAGGAGGAGGAGGAGGAGGAGGACAAGAAGGAGGAGGAGGAGGAAGAGTAGGAGGAGGAGGAGGAGGAGGAGGTTGGCCCCTACAACGGTTCATTTCAATAGAGAGAACTGCCTCGTTGGAAGACAACAGTTTGAAGATCCTGAAGCGTGCCAAAACATTGTTCCCGGGATTTCAACGCCACGTATCAACCTGATTGCTACGTCTTGACGATCCAGAATCGTGCCAGAACGCGACTTTTCTGGGACTTCAACACAGCGAATCAACATAACTGTTGCGCCCGCGAATCCTGAATCCTTCCAAGACGCCATTTCTGGTGCGTTGATCATGGGAATCCGTGAAGCTTGTGCACATAAAAACGAATGTGCGCGGCGCTATGACGAGAGCCACTTTTTGAAAAGGAACCGCCCTCAATCAGTGAAACTGTTGCACATTGTTAAAGCGAATGTGCGCGGCGCTAAGACGAGAGCCGCATTTTGAAAACCATCCGTCCTCAATCCGTGAAGCTCTTGCACATAGAAAGGAATGTTCGCGGCGCTAAGACGAGAGCCACATTTTGAAAACGACCCGCCCTCAATCCGTGAAACTCTTGCACATGTTTTAAAAGCGGATGTGCGCGGCGCTAAGGCGAGAGTTACATTTTGAAAACCACCCGCCCTCAATCCGTGAAGCTCTTGCAACTTTTTAAAGCGACTGTGCGCGGCGCTGAGGCGAGATCCACGTTTTGAAAGCGACCCGCCCTCCATGTGTGAAACCGTTGCCACTTTTTACGCTTCAGAGTCATACATGGGGAGGAAGTCTCAGGCCCCGCCCTAAAAACTGGCCTTGGGGTGCGACAGGGAGGAGTTATCTATACGGAGAAGGACTGGATGCTGATACTGCTGATGATGATGCTGCTGATGATGATGATGAGGAGGAGGAGGAGGAGGAGGAGGGACCAAAGAAGGAGGAGGAGGAGGAAAAAGTAGGAGGAGGAGGAGGAGGAGGAGGAGGAGGAGGGAGGAGGGAGAGGAGGAGGAGGAGGAGGAGGAGGAGGAGGAGGAGGGGGAGGAGGGTCGAGGGGGAGGAGGAGGAGGAGGAGGAGGAGGGGAGGAGGAGGAGGAGGAGGAGGAGGAGGAGGAGGAACGCGGAAAAGGGCGAGGAGGAGCGAGGAGGATGAGGAGCGAGGAGGGAGGAGTAAGGAGGAGGAGGGAGGAGCGAGGAGGAGGATGATCGAGGAGAGGAGGAGGGGGGAGGAGTAGAATTTGAGGAGGAGGAGGAGGAGGAGCAGGCGCGCTCCGCGAGCGAACCAGCACGACCCCAGGGTGCTCCGCAGCTCCGAGTGCGACAGGGGACCGCCCGACCGCCCGTAAGCCGCAGGAATCGACGACGACGGCCGGCGGCGGCGACGACGACGACGACGACGACGGCCGGCTGCTCGGCGGCGGCGGTGACGACGACGGCGACGGAGACGGCGGCGTCGGGGGCGAAATTCTGGGCAAACGGTATTTCGTGACTCTTCGCCGCGCTGGCCAATGTGCATCTTCGGGCCCGGGGATCGTCACAGATTCGATTCTGCCACAACCTTAGACACCCTTATTGCACCAGAGAACAACCCCAAAACAGTTGGATGGTTCGAAACTTGTGATTTGTATTGTGAGATCGATGGGATCGATAGGATCGATCGTGAGATCGATCTTGGGGATCGATAGTGAGGGCGACAATAAGGTCGGTCATGCGACCGATCGTGAAGTCGTTCAGTCGAGATCGATAGTGAGATCGATCGTGAGGTCGCTCGTGTGATCTATAGTGAGATCCAGTGTGAAATTTGATAATGAGATCGACCGTGACATCGATAGAGATGTGGGTAATGATATCGATGGTAAGACCGATCGGTAAGGAGATCGACCAGAAAGCCGGGAACCCAGAAACCCGGGAACCCCGCTGTCCACCGAAATCGGCCCGCAACCAACAGCCGGGAACCCGGGAACCCGGAACCCGGGAACTTGGCGGCCCACCGAAATCGGCCGCCCGTTTCCGCCAAATCTTTTAAGATCCGCCAGGACCCTTCAAGTGCAAGCGTTGAATTGGGAGCATCTGCTGCTCCATACGTGTATAGAGGTACTCGTAGTGCGCGACATAGATGGTTTTTTTTGCACAACATATGACATTACGTAATGTGTACCACAGTGATTGTGCATCACAGGTTCTCGTTCCTAAATACAGAATAGACTCTACCCCCCCTCAGTTATCACTCCCCCGTTCGGGTATGTAAACCATGTATGATTCTGACCACATGGCCATCCTAAATATGAAATCGCAATGTCCCAGGCCAGCCGGTATCCCCCCCCTGAGGTTTCCCTTGTCAAAAAACACAATGCAGGTGAAATTTTTGCTCTACATAGCACAAGTTTGCAACAATGTCTGGCAAACAATATGACGAAGTGCACACGCGCGCGTCTGTCGCGCGCGCATGCCGAAATCTTTCAAACATCTTCGGTGCCGGAGGGATTTCCGCAATCGATGTGTCCAAAAACACATTACAAAAACAAAGGGGTTCGCAACACTGATTTGCTAAGAAAGCTGACGCAGCGAGCTCTTGCGAAATCTTGAGGAAACCATATATTTGTAAGATTTCGCAAAATGCTAATTAAACCGGGCTTCGCTATTAAACGGGCTTCGCGCGCGCATGCCGAAATCTGTCGAACGCCCTTGCGCGTGTGCCGTCGCGAGAAATCTCTGCAAAAAATGGGACGAAGTGCAGACGCGCGCGTCGTCGCGCGCGTATGCCGAAAACCTTCAAAACCCATCGGTTTCGGAAGGATTTCGAAATCGTGTGTCCAAACAACATACAAAAACACAAGATTTTGCAACACGGATTTACAGATTTCGCAACACGGATTTTCAACAATAGCATGCGCGCGCGCTCTGGCGTCGTCGTCGTCGTCGTCGCCGTCCTCCCTCCTCCCGCGTCGACGTCGTCGTCGTCGTCGCCTACGTCGTCCTCTGTCTTTCCTCGTGTTCGTCGTCGTCGTCCTCTTTGGCGTCGTTGTCGTTTCCGTCGTCGTTGTCGCCGTGGTCGTCCTTCCTCCTCCTCCCTCGTCGTCGTCGTCGTCCGTCGTCGGCGTCTCGTCGTCGTCCATCCTATTTCGTCGCCGTCGTCGTCGTCGTCGTCGTTGTCGTCGTCGTGGTCTTCCCTCCTCCCTCGTCGTTGTCGTCGTCGGCGTCGCCGTCCTTCCTCCTTCGTCGTCGTTCGCGTCGTCGCCGTCCTCCCTCCTCTCTCGTCGTTGTCGTCGTTGTCGTCGTTGTCGCCGTCGTCGTCCTTCCTCCTCCCTCGTCGTCGCCTTCGTTGGCGTCGTCGTCGTCGTCTTCGTCGTCGTCGGCGTCGGCGTCGTTGTCGTCGTCGAAGTCGTCGGAGACGTCGTCGGTGTCGTCGTAGTCGTTGTCGTCGGTGTCGTCGTAGTCGGTCTTCAGAGGTTTTGCAAACCAAGTTGCGGGTGGGTGGGTGGGATGTTTGCAAGAGCGTGGGATGTGTCAAATCATGGGTAACATTCAGGTCCACAACATAGATTGCACCAGGTATTTTGATATAAACACACTGTTTAGGGTCCACGCCAGCTACCATCCTAGAGCTTCGGATGCAGCTCCTGGGAGCCTAAATGCAGCATTGTGGCTTGTATGTCCGTGGTCGAAAAAAACACCCTGGTCTGGCACAATTCTGCTTGCTTCCGCTCAATCCCGCTTCATCTGTCTTGATCGGCCACAGTCCAGGGTAAATCTGCTTGACCCGAAAGGGGGTCCAGTTGAAAGTGGGTGGTGCAACCGATTTGGTGCAATATAGTTGTAGGGTTGCAATCGATTTAGGGCGTGCAATGCATTCCAGTTTGCAATTGTATTGCTTGATTTTTGCGTACGAAGCATTAGCTGCAATACAATGCAATCTAATTTTCTGGCGCAATACAGTTGCAGTACAATCGTCCAAAATCTATTGCACCACCCCCTTTCAGCTGAACCCCCCTGTGAGTCAACCAGGGTAAAGTCCAGCCCAATCCAGCTCAATGGCTTCCAAACGGTGCTTAGTAACCCTCAGTCGCTCTTACCAGGTTGTGCTCGTGGCTGGCCTCGTCATATGTTCCCTCCTCGTCTGTGGCGTTTGATGAGGGGTGCCGGCTTCGCGTCCACTGGGAGTTCATCGTGCCCCCTGCTCCTCATCCTTCTCCTGTTCCTGTTCCTGTTCCCGTTCGTCGTCCTCCTCCTCCTCCTCCTCCTCCTCCTCCTCCCTGAGATCCAGGTCTAGCCTCCCTTCCCTCGGCTCGAGGGTTTGGCCCTCCGCGGGGAGGGTGCACCGTTTTTTGCCGTGCCCTCTCGCACCCTCGGGCCTCGGCCGAGCCATTCCGTGGGAGTTCCGCCGGTCTTTCTCGTGGTCCTCGTGCCGTTCGCCCAGCCCGAGGTGAAGAGCCGTGCTGCGCGCAGAAAAAGGTAAAGCAGCCAGCCGTCCAACCCCCAGGGCCGCCTACGATCCGATTCCATGCGATTCGATTCGCCGGCTGCGGCCGCGATTCCAATTCGGTGCGATCCGGCTCTATATGCACCGGCATCGGCCGGGGCCAGCCAGCGGCGGTTCGATACCGATCCGATTCGTCGCTCTCGATCCGATCCGATTTCACGATCTGGTCCAGCGCAGACCTGCCCCCCGCAGGAGCGGGAGCGCGAAGAGCGCGAACGCGAGCGCGAGCGCGAGCTGGCGAGGGCGGACCGGGAGGCGGAGGACGAGGCGCAGTTTCCGCCCTCCGCGCCCGCCCGCCCGCTCCGCGGCCTCAGCGGCCTCGTCATCGTCATCGTCGTCGTCGTCGTGCCTGATTCCTCTCGAGACGACTTGTGCCTCGAAGGCCGGTTCCTATCGAGACGTTTTTTGCTTCGCGCTTGAGCGCTTGTGCGCTTGGAGCGTTGATCAAGTCTTCACCAATGCCAGATTCAGAGCCTCAACGTCGTCGAAAAATGAGTCGTGGTCGTCGTCGTCGTCGTCGTCGTCGTGGTCGTGGTCGTGGTCGTTGTCGTGGTTGTCGTCTCGGGGTGGAGGGTGTTGTGCGGACGAAAAGGTTTGAGGTTCGAAGTTCGATGTGCTCGGGTCTTTTTGCGGTCCTCGGCGGTTTTCCAGCGTCGCGGGATGCTTCCCGTCAGCTGCGCCTCGCCGAGAGCGTTCCAGGGGTGCCCAGATCGTCCCGAACGGCCGCGGGAGAGAGCCGAGCTATGATCCGAAGACGCGGGGGCGACGACGTGGGGGGGGGGGACTGGCCGAGGGGGGGACGCATCGACCTCCAGTCGCCCATGCACTGCCGGTCGGGACCTGGGTGCCCCACCCCGCCCAGGAGCACTCGGTGCCTGTGCTGAGGACCGGTCGCCGACTCCTCGTCGATTCATCGCAGATTCCACGCTCCGGTTCCCCCCCCGTGGGCCATTCCCTCCCCCCTCGTTCCCATTCGGCAGCGGGGAACATAAACAGGGGGGATGCGCATCCTGCTGCATGCAGCTGGTTTCGGCCCCGTCGCCGGGCTCCTTGCCTCGATGCATGGGCGCCGGGAGGCGCCAGGAAGAGCAGCTACGTGATTTGAGCCACTATCCTTCCTTTTCGTCCTATCGGAAGTTTGCCCCCCTGGGTCCTCTCCGCTGCCCAGGTCCCCGCAGCCTGCCATAGGGATAGACCGGATTTTACAGGTGTGCGCTGCAAGTGACAAGTTCAGGCAGTCCAAGTTGGCCTCTTCGTGCGGCGCTGCCGTGGGGAGGTATACAGTGTCATTCGGCCTATCCCGCCAACGTTCGCACAGGCGTTTTTCCGAACTATCCTGTGGTATTGGGTCCTCGTTTTGAAGAGACGGTCCCCGCGTTCCTTCCTTGCTTCCTCCTCCCTTCCTCCCTCCTCTCAACATTATCATCACCATCATCACCATCATCATCATCATCATCATCATCATCATCATCTTCATTATCATCAGCATAATCGCCACCATCAGCGACATCATCATCGTCATCACCATCATCATCACCATCATCATCATCAGGATCCAATACATTCATCTCACCATCAATCATCACCATCATCATCATCATCATCACCATCATCACCATCATCATCACCATCATCATCATCACCCCTCATCATCTTCAGCACCATCATCACCATCATCATCACACACCATTCATCATCATCCGGATCATCATCATCCATTATCATCTCCTCATCTATCATCATCATCTCATTCATCTTCATCCTAATCTCATCATCATCACCATCACCCCATCATCGCCATATCATCATCATCATCATCATCATCATCATCATCATCATCATCATCATCATCATCATCATCATCATCATCATCATCATCACCATCACCATCAGCAGCAGCAGCATCAGCATCAGCATCAGCATCAGCATCAGCAGCATCATCGCCATCATCAGCGACCTCACACGTTCCGTGGCCCCATAGGGAGCTCCACCAAAGGCCTCAGTGGTACAGCCCGCATGCGTCACCCCCCACCCAGTGCAGCGCTTCGTGGCCCCATAGGGAGCTCCACCGAAGGCCCCAGTGGCACCGCCCGCGTGCGTCACCCCCACCCAGTGCAGCGTTCCGTGGCCCCACAGGGAGCTCCACCGAAGGCCCCAGTGGCACCGCCCGCGTGCGTCACCCCCACCCAGTGCAGCGTTCCGTGGCCCCACAGGGAGCTCCACCGAAGGCCCCAGTGGCACCGCCCGCGTTTGGTCCACCCCACCAGTAACAACGTTTTCGTGCCCCCATAGGAGCTCCACCGGAAGCCCCAAGTGGCACTGCCCGCATGCGTCAACCCAAACCAGTACAGCTTTCTTGGCCACATGGAGCTCCACCGAAGCCCCAGCGGCACCGCCCGCGTGCGTCACCCCCACCCAGTGCAGAGTTAGTAGGCCCCATATAAGGGAGCTTTTTCTTTTTTTTTTTGTTTTTGCATATCTTCTTTTTTTTTTATTTTTTCCGTTTAGTTTCTTTTTTTTTTTTTGCTTTTCCTTTTGATTATGCTTCTTTTTTTTTCCTTTACCCTTCTCTGTTTCATCTCTTCCTCTTTCTTTCCCCTTCTCATCTTCGGCTTTATTCTTTTTTTTTTTGTTTTTTTCTTTTTCGTTTTTGTTGGGTTTTTGTTTTTTTTCTCTTTTTATTTTTTTTTCCTTTTTCTCCATTTCTTTTTCTTTTCTCTTCTCTTTTTTGTTTCTTTTTTTTTCTTTTTTTCCTTTGGTTTTTTTTTTCTTTTTTTTCCACTAAGGCCCCAGTGGCACCGCCCGCAGGGAGCTCCACCGAAGCCCCCAGTCCTCTCAGCGCAGCGCTTCGTGGCCCCGTGAGGAACTCCACCGAAGGCTCCAGTGGCGGTGTTCACATGCGTCCCCCCCCACCTAGCACAGCGCTTCGTGGCCTCATAGGGAGCTTCACCGAAGGCCCCGGTGGCTGTACTCGCATGCGCTTCCCCACCCATTACATTGTTTCGTTGCCCCACAGGGAGCTCCACCGAAGGCCCCAGTGGCACCGCCCGCGTGCGTCACACCCCACCCAGTACAACGTTTGGTGGCCCCATAGGGAGCTCCACCGAAGGCCCCAGTGGCACCGCCCGCATGCGTCACTTCCCACCCAGTACAGCGTTTCGTGGCCCCATAGGGAGCTCCACCGAAGCCCCCAGTGGATGCACTCGCATGTGTTTCCTCCCAGCGCAGCGTTTCGTGGCCCTATGAGGAACTCCACCGAAGGCCCCAATGGCGGCGTTCACATGCGTTCCCCCCACCCAGCACAGCGCTTCGTGGCCTCATAGGGAGCTTCACCGAAGGCCCCGGTGGCTGTACTCGCATGCGCTTCCCCACCCATTACATTGTTTCGCTGCCCCATAGGGAGCTCCACCGAAGGCCCCAGTGGCAGCCCCGCCCCACTGCGGCGCATCCCTAACACTTTTCGCGGCCCCGTAGTGCTTTCCGCCTGAAGCAACAGTGGCAGCGCCCACATGGCGGCCCCGCCCCACATCGGCACACCCTTCGCATGCTTCATTGGCGCCATAAGGAGATCCCCCGACGTCCATACCCGCAACGACTGTATTCGCAACTGCATACGGCTTGGTCTTTCGCCATACTATGTTTGTTGAATTTGATGACATGGATCATACAAACAGTTCGTACTACAACGTGCTGTATTAACGTATTTTGAACGAGGAGATGTTCGGTCAACATGTCGTGCATCATGTGGCTTGCAAACAGGTGGTGTCCGCACACAGGGGACGCCGGCAATGCAATTCTGTGTCACGATACCACCCCGTATTCCATACTCTTTTAGACTACAGAATTTGGTGTACCATACGCCGCGCACGCGCATCTTGCATTAATTCCGCTGCATACCGTGTACAAGGACACGTGTTGTATATCCTAACCGCATGCTGTGATAACACAGGAGGAGGAGGAGGAGGAGGAGGAGGAGGAGGAGGAGGAGGAGGCGGAGGAGGAGGAGGAGGAGGAGGAGGAGGAAGAGAGGAGATCGGAGGAGGGCGGATGAGGGGGAAGAGGAGGAGGAGGTAGGAGCAGGAGGAGGAGCAGGAGGAGGAGGAGGAAGGAGGTGGAGGAGGCGGAGGAGGAGGAGGAGGAGGAGGAGGAGGCGTTGAGGGAGGAGGAAGAGGAGCACCCAGACCTCGAGTGCCGTGATCTTTCGACACGAGGTCTCCCGGCGCCCCGAAGCCTGCAAGTTTCCCGAGCGGAGAAGCTTCTGTTGACGCTCCATGGCCGCCGCACGCCGCCCGCGGAGGCCGCTGGGCCGCCGCGCCGCCCGCCCGGCCGCCGCCGACGCCCGCCGCCCAATGCGTTGCCGCCTCCCGCCCGCCCGCCCGAAGGGCCGTCGCGGGCCGCCGCCCGCTTCATCACCCACCAAACCACCCCAGCCCAACCCGAAGGCCTCAAATTGACCTCCATTTCCAGTGGGGGGGGGGGGGGCGGGGAACATCGAGAAAACACATATGGAACCCGTACCCCCCCCCACCCGAAATTCGGGTCTTCGGGTTGGGTTGGGGTGGTCTGGTAGGTAGTCACCGCTGTCCACGGCGTTGCCGCCTCCCGCCCGCCGAAGGCCGTCGCGGGCCGCCGCCCGCCGAAGGCCGCCCGCCGCCGCGCGCCCCGCAGGCGCAGGGCGACGCGCGCGCCGCGCGCCTCGGCGCCGCCCGCGCCGCGGACGAGGCGCGGTGGGCGGCCGCCGGCAAGCGGCGCGCCGCCGGCGAGGACGGCGGCGAGCACTGGAGGCGCGCGGGTCCCCCAGCCGATCGAGCAGTGGCGAAGCGTCCCGGTTGCCTGTAGGCCCACCACGTGGTGTTCTAAGAACCTTGTGCGGTCTGCCGGACATTCGAGCATTTCTGGCTGAGGCTGTCTTGTTTTTTGCAGCATCGGGTTTCTGTTCTGAGAACATCGGTTTTGTTATTAGATCATGTTTGGGTGCAGCCCGCGAGGACGGCGGCGAGCACTGGAGGCGCGCGGCCCTCCCCCAGCCCAGGGTCGGCGACTATGAACGGTGGGAAACCGACCCCAGCCCCCACAAACTATTGGTTTTGGATGTCAGCGTTTTGCAATTTTGGCGACTGTGCGTAAGTGTAGGCTTGTGGAGGACGATCAATGGAGAGGAGGCATGCTGCCAAATAGTTTCCAGATGTCTAAAACATGTGTTAAACATGTAGTTAGCATGTAAGCAATATGCTTGAAACATGTTTAGAACATGCTTTTACACATGTTGAACACTTTTTAGTTCAATGATCGGATTGTTAGAGTGTCCATTGCCATGGCAGCCACAAGTGTAGGCGCCCTGTCAGCGAGGCCATTGCCGTCTGCTTGGTCTGACGTTCCTCAGGCGGGGGGCGGGAGTCGTTCTTTATGCGTTCAGACTACGATGGTTGTGATTACGCAAAGGTCTGGTTTGCGATCGGCGCCGTTGCAGGGTTCACCTCGATCCGACCGATCCGATCCAATATCGGCTCCGGCTGGCCCGGTTCGGTCGATTCCGATTTCTGGGCGATCCGAAGCGACCGATGTTATGGCACTGTGATTTATCCTGGTGCCGCCGATTCGATTTGATTCCGACCCCGAGCCGACGCGGCACGACTCGATGCACTTTTCGATCCGATCCGAATTCCCGATTCGATGCCGACGCTTGTTCCTGCGTTGGGCGCCCCGCCTCCGCCAGGCCCCGTCGCAGCAGCCGCCGCTCCCCCGCCGGCGGGGCCAGCCGCGCCACTCGCTCCGGGTGTGGCCCGTCCCCCCGAGCGGCCCCTGAGCAGCCCTTGTTCCTTCTCTGTCTCCTTCCATTTTCCTGCCTCGTGGCGCGCTTCGCTTCAAGCGGCATCCCCGTTGTCAGTGCTCTTCCGCCAGCGCAGTTGCTCTGCCTAGCCTTGTAAGGTGGGCCGGAGGGACAGGGTTGAACCGACCGTGTATTCTATCAAATTCCAGAGAAGTTGCGGGCAATTCCCGGGAAAGTTCAGTTTTTTTGGTCCTGTAGAGGTGTTAGTATATAACATATGTATAGCATGTATTTATCCGTAAGGGCTTCGCCCCCTGCCGCCGGCCCCCTCTCTCGGATAATGGGCCATGGAAGAGCTAAGTCATGAGGCCTTGGCGCTGTCGTGAAGCAGTATCGAAACTTCATGCGAAGCCGATTCGCAATCAGCAAAACCAACTGATCACAAGAGGGGTTACCACACCTGGCGATTGGTAAGACGTGTATGGTTTACGGGTTTGGTTACCACACCCTGCGATTAAAGGGCCGAGGGGCTCTCGCAGTTTGGGTTACCACGCCTTGCGATGGATGTGCGTGAAGGGTGGCACCGGATTTCAGAAATGTGCCAAATCCTGTATGTTTTTGGACCCTGACCCCGCGGATCTGCGTAAAGGGGTGGCGCCGAATTTAGAAATGTGGCGAATCCCCTGTGTTTTTGGACCCTGACCCCGCGGATCTGCGTGAGGGGTGGCACCGAATTTCAGAAATGTGGCACATCCCCTGTGTTTTTGTACCCTGACCCCGCGGATCTGCGTGAGGGGTAGCACCGAATTTCAGAAATGTGGCGAATCCCCTGTGTTTTTGGACCCTGACCCCGCGGATCTGCGTGAGGGGTGGCACCGAATTTAGAAATGTGGCAAATCCCATGTGTTTTTGGACCCTGACCCCGCGGATCTGCGTGAGGGGTGGCACCGAATTTCAGAAATGTGGCAAATCCCATGTGTTTTTGGACCCTGACCCCGCGGATCTGCGTGAGGGGTGGCACCGAATTTCAGAAATGTGGCAAATCCCTTGTGTTTTTGGACCCTGACCCCGCCGATCTGTGTGAGGGGTGTTGATTTCGACCCCCCCCAGCAATTCAGACAACGCGCCCAGGAGACGCTAAAAATCTGGTTTGGGCCTCCCCTTCCCTTCGCGCGGTCAATCAACTAGTTACAGTAACGAGCAAGAAGCAGAACTGTAACACTGGAAACTACAAGCTACAACTGGTACAGGAAACTGCGAACCCGCGCCTACAGCCTGGTGGCCCCACAAGGGGGCCGGCGGATAGTTTTTTGTTGTCCATTGCTTTGGCGCCGACGCAAACTGTTCCTGCCTTGGCCGCCACGCTGCGCCAAAAGTCCGATGAACCCTCGTCGGGGCGCGGCGGGTGAGATCTCTGTAGCAAAGCCCTCGCCCGCCCCCCTCGGGCGCGGGATGCGAGCCACGCCCTGTCAAAGCGACAGCTCTCGGAGTCGCCGCCGCCGCCGTGGTTGTGGTGGTGGTGGTCGTCGTCGTCGTCGCCTTCGTCGTCGTCGCCGCCGTCGTCGTCGTCGTCGTCGTCGTCGTCGTCGTCGTCGTCGTCGTCGTCTTCGTCGTCTTCGTCGGCGTCGGCGTCGGCGTCGGCGGCGGGGCCGTCGCTGTCGTCGTCGTCGTCGGCTTCGGCGTCCTCGTCATCGTCGGCTGCGTCGGCATCGTTGCTACTGGCGGCGGCGGCGGCACCGTGGACAAGATGCCGACGCCGTTGCGCGGCCCTCCCCAAACGTCTGGGGTTTTTGAACAATCGACCCACGTTGTTTTTCTTAGTTTTATTGTGTGTTTGGTGTTAGTTGTTGTTGTTGTTGCTGCTGCTGCTGCTGCTGCTGTTGTTGTTGTTGTTGTTGTTGTTGTTGTTGTTGTTGAATATTATTACTTCTAAAAAATAATTATTGTTGGGCCCCCTGGTGCACGCCCCCCCCGCCGCGCCTAGGCCGCAGCCACGTTTTCATCATTTTCGTGAGGAAGCCTCAGGTAATTCGAGTTGATCAAGATCCGGTTGTTTTGTTGTAATCCGCTTTCCCTTGCAAAAAAAACACTATAAAATGAAATTTCTTGTTCAAATATAATCAAATTTCAAGAATCCCTTGCAAAAAATAAGGTAAAGTGGACATTCGCGCGCGCAAGACGAAATCCTTCAAAAAGCTTAGTGTTCGGAGCGATTTTAACATAAAAACATCAAAAAACCAATGGTTTTTCAACAAAAAAAATGTCAAAATCTCATCCCGCGCGCTCTTGCGGATTCGTAGGAAACCCAACTCTTTTTCAACATTTCTGTCAAACGGGCTTTTGCGAGCAACTTTTTTCGAACTTCTGCGACAACGGTTGCGCACCTGCCAGGGCCATCATCCCTGTCAAATAATACCATGCGGGACACATGCGTTTTTTCTTCGCGCGCGCTCGCCGAATCTTCCATGTGTATCATGGGTATTCATGTACCATATCGCATCTATGCAACAGTGTTCTGTGGAGCTAACAAACCTTCTGTGGGTTAACAAGGCTTAACAACTTCTGTGGGTGTACGAACGTAGGCTTAACAACTTCTGTGGGTGTGACTCCACGCCAGTGTAGTAGCCACGGTCGTCCGCAGGCCACGAAGTGAAGTGTCCGAACGTCATAGGGCGGGAAGCTGGGTGTGGGTGGTGGCGAAGAGTCGTGTGGATATTTGGTAGAGCTTGCACTGCCCCCCCACAAAGTGGGGGTATTTGCTGGCGTCGCATGAAAACCCTGGCACTGGTGAGAACACTGAGCGTTCGGGTAAAGTGAGTGTTGTTGTTGTTGTTGTTGAACATATTACTTCTAAAGAATAATTATTGTTGGGACCCCTGGTGCACGACCCCCCCGCCGCGCCTAGGCCGCAGCCTCATTTTCATCATTTTCGTGAGGAGGTCTCAGGCAAAACGGGTTGGTCCGGATCCGGTTGTGTTGTTACGATCGGTTTTCCCTTGCAAAAAATAAGCTAAAGTGGACATTTCTTGTTCCAACATAACCAAACTTCAAGAATCCCTTGCAAAAAATAAGGTAAAGTGGACATTCGCGCGCGCAAGACGAAATCCTTCCAAAAGCTTAGTGTTCGGAGCGATTTCAACATAAAAACATCAAAAAACCAATGGTTTTTCAACACAAAAAATGTCAAAATCTCATCCCGCGCGCTCTTGCGGATTCGTAGGAAACCCAACACTTTTTTAACATTTCTGTCAAACGGGCTTTTGCGAGCAACTTTTTCGAACTTCTGCGACAACGGTTGCGCACCTGCCAGGGCCATCATCCCTGTCAAATAATACCATGCGGGACACATTCGTTTTTTTCTTCGCGCGCGCACGCCGAAATCTTCAAAAACCATTGGGTTTCTTATCAGACGCTAGCGCCTCACCAGCCAAAGCAGTCCATATCATTGTAGGACCTACAGACAGTACCGGCGTCGTACTGGTTTACCGTGGTTTCCTATTCTAGCGTCAGGAACACGTTACCACCAAAAACCAGTACAGGTGTCCAGTGTTGGAACAGGGGGACAAGTCGTATACTAAGCTAGCGTCCAGAAAATGTTACCACAACAAGTCACTGTACCCATGCGCCAGTGTAGTAGCCACGGTCGTCCGCAGGCCACGAAGTGAAGTGTCCGAACGTCATAGGGCGGGAAGCTGGGTGTGGGTGGTGGAGAAGAGTCGTTTGGAAATTTGGTAGAGCTTGAACCGGCCCCCCCACAAAGTGGGGGTATTGCCCGCCTCCTATGAAAACCCTGGCACTGGTGAGAACGGAGTGTCCACACGTGCTAGTAATTGTTGTTGTTGTTGTTGTTGTTGTTGTTGTTGTTGTTGTTGTTGTTGTTGTTTGGTGTTCGTGAGGTTGTGGGTTGGTGTTGTTTGTGTTCGTGATTGTTGTGTGTTGTTGTTGTTGCATGTTGCTGTTGCTGATGTTGTGTTTGCGGTCGACGGGTGTTCGTGTTTGTGATTTGTT